GTAGAATACCAAGTGCTACCTGGTATGGCCTCTGTCGTCTTCAAAAGACCCCTCTCCCGGCTGCACCCCGTTGCGCGCGTCACGATCCCTCCTAAAAAGCCATGGGTCCGCACTCCCGAGCTCCCAAGACGGCGGAGGCAGGCTACCAAGACCGCCAAGATGGCACAATGTGTCTCCACTGCGGCCCAAGATAGCCCCAAGGCGACCCTAGATGGCGTCAAGAAGACTCATGATTGAAAGATGTGGGCGTCTTCGCGTGTTCGAGTTCCCTGCAAGTCCAGACGGGCCTCCAAGATGGCCCCAGGACGGACTAGGAAAGCCCCAGCGTGGCCAAACAATCCGCCAAGACTGCCTCAAGACAGCCCGACAAAGCCCCTAGGCGGCCCAGGACGGCCCTAAGAGAGCCCCAAGCCAGCCCAAGAGGGCCTCCAGAGGGACCCACGACTGCATCCGAGGGCCCCACGAGGGCCCCACGACGGCCCCTCAGACGGCCCCCCAGACGGCCAAGATGGCCCCAAGATGGGCCACGAGAGGCCCAAGAGGAACCAGACGGCCCCTAGACGGCCCAAGAGAGCACCACAAGAGATCCCGAAGATTGCCCCACTGGAGCCCAAGATAGCCCCAAGGCAGCCCAAATGAGCTCCATGCGAGTTCCCCAACCAGTCGAAACGAAAGGTATGTGACGGCCTTCGGTGCTCTAACTTTGCCACTCAACTGACTGAGCTGAAACAATGGCGGGACTAGCCGCAGGCACATCGATCCGCCGCCCCATGTTGCCTTATCAGAAGGGTGCCTGGCGTGCTAACGTTCTGGTGGTTTTTGGTTGCTGCTAAGACTCCCCTCTGGGGCATCGGCACAGCGCGCCAGACATCCGGAAGATGTGCCTGTCAAAGCCTTTCTCGCCCAAGACTTCAAGATGCTTCCAAGACGGCCAATATGGCCCAAGATGGCCTCCAAGAAGCCTCCAAGACGGCCAAGGTGGCCGCAAGATGTCTCCAAGACGGTCCAAGATGCACCTCAGACGGCCTAAGATGGCTTCAACATGGCCCAAGACGGCCCAAGAGGCACCCAAGAAGCCCCTAAGACTGTCAAAGAGGCCCCTAAGAGGTCCTCCGGGAAGGCTCGAAGAAGCCAAAAGCATTCATATACCGTTAGTTTTGAAGGATTTGGGCACTTGCTTCAAAACGGCCTCCCGTCGGCCCAAGACGAACCAAGAGGTTCGCAAGATTGCCCCAAGATCGCCCAACTGGCCTCCAAGATTTTCCCAGGACGGCCCAAGAGGCCCCCAAGACGGCCCCCAAAGGGCCCCATGATGGCCAAAGAGGCCTCCAAGACGCCTAAGATGGTATTCAAGACGATTCTGAAGCGCCCCAACAGGGCCCCAAGACCGCCAGAGAAGCTCCCAAAACGGCTTCCGATGGCGTCAGATGGACCAGAAACGCCGTAAGACGGCTAAAGGGGGCCCCAAAGAAGCACCCAAAAGCCCCCAAGAGGCTCAAGGAGGCCCCCAAGAGGCCTCCAACAGGCCCCCAAGAATCTCCCAGGAGGCCCCAAGAATAACCCAATAAGCTCCCAAGAGGTCTCCTCATCCTTATCCTCATCATCCTTTTTCCCTCCTCTCCTCGTCCTCCTCTTCCTCCCCCACGTGTTCCCCGAAGGGCTTCCACAACGGATGGGGAAACGCATGGTCCAATAGCGTAAACTCTGCTCATACGTTTGGCCACAAAGACGTATCTTAAAAGGCATGGGGCGGCGGTGACTCGCCGTAGGCGTCTTCGAAAATGTACCCTCTTGGAGGCCTAGAGGCCATCTCGGAGGCCATTTTGGATGCCATGTCGCCTTGCCTTGCCTTGTCGGGGCCAAGACGGGGACGCGACACGCCCAGCTCGTCGCCGAGGGGCCGCTGGAAGGGCTGACACACTACGCCGCACAATCCACGTCGCAGCACTCCCCGCCCTTGCCTGTGGACCGGGTGTGGCTGGCACTCTGGAGGCCGCCACGGGCCAGCCGCGCGCGGAGAAGAGGACGAGGCACATGCGAAACTCGCTGCAAGGCGGAGCGTCGGAGTTGAGCGCTAGGCGGAACCTCGTGGGGGTATGTTTAAAGGGGCCCAGGGACCAGGGACACACAAATACCCCAATCTTTCCCAACCACCCCGTGGTGCTGGGTCCTCGTTTTGAAGAGACAGCGCCCCGCGTCTCCTCTCCTCCGCCGCCTTCCTCCTCCCCCTCCTCCCCTCCCCCCTGCTCCATCATCCCGCGGGGAGGAAGGCCCCCGACCTTGCTTGCTTCGGGGACTAGGCCAGGCGGTGGCGTAAGTGGTGGATCCTCGTGTGATCCAGTGCGCCACCCGCCTGGCCCCTCGTCCTCACACCCATCGGGCACGCATCAACCTCCATCATCACCATCATCCCATCATCCCATCATCCTCATCCATGCGCCCCCCCATCGATTTCACCACACACACACACACGTCACTCAACAGGGAGCTCCGCCGCAGGCCCCAGTGGCAGGGTTCGCATGGCACCGCCGCCTCCATTTCGGCACACCCCTCACACGCTTCGTGGCTCCATGGGGAGCTCCGCCCAAGGCCCCAGCGGCAGGGTTCGCATGGTACCGCCGCCTCCATTTCGGCACACCCCTCACACGCTTCGTGGCCCCATAGGGAGCTCCGCCGAAGGCCCCAGTGGCAGGGTTCGCATGGCACCGCCGCCTCCATTTCGGCACACCCCTCACACGCTTCGTGGCTCCACAAGGAGCTCCGCCGAGGGCGATACCCACAACGGCGGTATTCACAACTGCATATGGTTGGACATTTCGCCCGGATATTTCTTTTATGTTCTAGGTTTTCGGTTTCCCCCACACTTCCTGTATGTTCCCATCTTTTCCTGGTGGTCAACGATTAATGGTATCTGTGGGTTTTTCCCCTTCTGAATGTTGAACCTCGTTTGTTTTGATCTTGAGGCCATGTTGGGGTCCTGTTTGGGCCCTCCGGGGGCAATCTCGGGACTCCGTTGAAAGCTCTCTGAAGCCCGAGGAGCCCTCCTGGGGCTGTCGTGCGACCAGCGTAGCGTTCAGTACAAGTCGTAGTGTTGCCGCTTTCGCGATGTGGAACTCTCTTCGGGCCATATTGGGGCCATCCTGGGGGAGCCTGAAAAGCATCAAGGGAGAGCCTGAAGGGCTCCAAGACGGCATAACGCCCAAGAGCGCCCAAAGATCGTACAAAGAAGACACCAGCGTGCGGTTGGTCTTGCTCCAGAGGCAGTGTTAATGGACACCGCAACCCTGAGGTGCTTGAAATGTGTTGGCCTTCTCTGGGGCATCATTCGGGCGCTTTTGGACAAAAATCGCTGCAAGGTGGCCCGAGATGTCCTAAGATTTCCTCCAAGGTGGCGCAATGAGTTCCAAGTTGGCTCACGATGGCCTGGGGCAGGCCTCCAATGGCTTCAAGACGGCCCAAGGCGGCTCCAAGTGGCGACGGAGCCTCCGAAGGTCGCCCCCAAGAATGAAGCCCAAGCCCTTGAATGTCTCAAATGGTTCAATGATGTTTGCCGTCTCACCGTTTCGCTTACCATGGGCTTGGCATCACGATGGCTCCAAGATCGCGCAAAAAGAGCCCCACGAGGGGCCCGTAAAAGCTTCAAGAAGACCACGCGAGCTCCACAAACAGCGCGCCACGAGGGTTCCAAGAGACTAGTTTTCGGGGTCTGGCAGGGCGAGGCCCCCAGAGAGCCCCCCTCCATATGAGGAGTCCAAAAGAGCAAGCAAACGCCTCAGGCGTCCAAAACTGCCCGAGCAGCGCCAGCAGCTGGATCCGAGAAGTAGTCAAGAAGCGCCCATATCGAAATACCCGCGCTGGCCATCATGGATGACCCGTGGGTCTGCTCGGGCTGATCCTGAGCTTCGGCTGGACGGCTGCCCCCCGCTCGGTTGCACGAAGTGTTTCCAGACATCCCTGATCGGGGTAACTCGCCTGGGGCTCGTTTCTGGGTGGGGTGGCGGGTATGTACGACGCGTCAACGGTTTGCACAAACTTGGGGTAGTGTTGTCTTGATGCGTGGTGTGCTACCTTACGCGTGTGGCGCTTGTTGCTGTACTGGTCATATACGGCGTAGTCGTTGTTGTTGGCATGGGAGGCTGCATCTGCCGCGTGCGCGCTTTGGGCGTATGCGAGCTGCGTGCTTCTGGTATCACCCTTGCGCTTGGCTTGTTCATACCGTTCGTGCTGCTGCTACTTGCAGCAGCTGGACCGGTGAATTGGTGTTGATGTTGGGAATTGGTGGTGATCGTTGGTTTTCGATCTGGTAATCCGAGATCGCTGGTTCGGCTCAGATCCTGAGAGCCAGGCCGCGTACTAGACAGGGCGTGGCCGGCCGAAACCCGAACGCGTGCCCCGTTCTCTTGGGTGCAGGGCCCACCACCACCACAGCACAAACAACGGCACAGATACATCCCTGGAGGAAAACGGGGAGAAGAGGCGACACCTTCCAGGCACCCCCTCTCAGATGAAGATCGTGGGACCTTGCCCGTGCAACCCATTTCACCCCGAGGTCCATCTAGCAAATCTGTCCTAGAACCCTCACGCAAATTCGTCGGGGAACGCGCAACGAAAACCGCGGGACGCTCCATCACATCCCCGCGCAGCGGACGATCAAGAGGGCGTCTGTATGCGAGGCGAAGACTGCATGGGTCAAGAGGTTGCTTCACAACGTCACCGTGAGACTCTTTACCTCCCCCGTGCACAAGGAACCTCCAGCCACGGCACGTGCAGCGTGCCAGCGCTCCCGAAAAACTGCGCTTGAGCACTCCGAGGCACCAGGTGTGCTGCCTACGCTGAGCCGTGGAACGCACACACGAAGACTGCGCACGCCAAGAGCAGACTGCGCACACGACAGCACCCCCCCTGCACGGTGTAAGGACCTACGCACGGACTGCACGGGCGGGGGAGCGGACGGCACGGGCGAGGCAAGAGCGGCGACGCGTCCCAGGCGCAGGCTGCGCCTTTCGGATGCTCGTCATCGCCTCGGTGATGCTGCTGATGAAGGACGAGAAGGTCAGCAGGGCAAAGATGACGACGCAGACGTTGAAAGCGCGCTCTGGGAGCGGTGTTTCTGCTCATCGGCCCGTTTTTTGTTTCTGGCAGCAGGCGGAGCCCAGCTCCCCGTCAGTCGAGCTAGAAGATTGCAAGAGCCTCGGGGCCACGGGGCGCAACAGCCTTCGAGGACCCGTCCGAAGGCAATGCTTGGAGGATGTCTCGAGCGAAACGCTGATTGTTCAACGAAAGTGATAAAACACACGTGGGTTGTTCAATACTTTCGCCTTCTTTGGCAACCTTGGAGGTCATCCGAGATCGCTCCCAAAAGATGCCTTACAAGAGCTCAGTCGGCATCCTCCTGCCCGAGCGTTGCGTCCACTCGCGCAGGACCCGCCGATCTCCAGGCCTTCTCCGTGGCCCCCGCGGAGCCGCGCCGGACCCCGACGGAGAGGGCCGGGCCGCTCCGAGGCAGGACGGCGCTTCCCGGGAGGGCGGCGGAAACGGGCTCCCCAACACGCCGCAGAGTGTGCGCGCACGTCGCTTCGCCCGAAAAGCGAACAGGAAGCAGCAGGGCTGAACCCAAACGGTGTCTGTCGTTCTCGCTTCGTGTTCGCTTTTTCCCTCGCTTTTTTCTCGTCTCGCATCCGCCTTCCGACCGCAAAACGAGGTCGAAGCGAAAACGGCCCACGAGATCACCAGAAACACCGTTGGGGTGCAGCCCTGGAGAGCAGCAGCACCGGCAGCACTGGCAGGGGTGCGGCCACTCGCACAGCCGTCCGAAGCGGGGCCGCGAGGGCGGGCGGTGACGAGAGCAGTGCGCACTGCACACCGGGGTCCTGAACTGCATGTAGGGACCAGGCCTCCACTGAAGGGGCCCCAGGACACGCAAATAAATACACAAATAGAAATATTCCCAATATTTTCCATATTTTTGGGGGGTTCGTCTTCCCCCCCACTTCCCATATTTTCCCATATTTCCTGGGGAATCAACGATTAATTGTGTCTGTGTGTTTTTTCCCTCCTGATCCACACCAGGCGCCACAGGCGAAGATGGTCACTGCTCGGCGGCGCGCGAGACTTTAGTGCGGCGAGCTGACAGCGGACAACGAGCGAAGGATCACGCGTTGACGGACAGCCGAGACAAGCGATCTGGCGATACTCTGATGCGGGGCTCTTGCTTGCAAGGCCGCGTCTCCTCTGGAATTTGTCGGGAAGACCTCCATGGACCTCAGTGTGGGCGCAGCCTTGCCACAGCTGTCGGATCATCGGTCAACCCTCGCTTCATGCCCCAGAGGAGGAAGCGCCCCCAGCGGCGTGCAAGGAGTAGTAGAACAGAAGGGCCAACGGACACAGGGTCACAAGGTTGGGAAAACATGACGACGGCAAGAAACGTACATCAAGCATGCTGGAAGAGATGGGGACATGGAACAAATGGCTCGAACGTGGCCAGAGAGACTCATCGAATGTGGCGCCAGGCGCTCTACAGAGCGCCAGGAACACTAGCTGCAAGCGAACGGTACCAAGATTGGACAACGTCACATCGCAACCTCTGCTCCGACAAACTCGCGTCGACGGCTCATGTGACGCATGCCCTCTTCGAGATTTCGAGACGCTGACTTAGGCTACTATACAGCTCCATCCGCCAAGAACGACAACTATTACATGGCTCGGTTAGACTTTGTCAAACAGTATAGTCAAGCGGAACAAGAGTACAGGAGGGGGGAGGAGGGGAGGGGAGGAGAAGCAGAAAGGGGGAGGAGGGAGATTGTGGGGGGCAAGGGGTGCTTTCCTGCTGCAGAGGAGGGCACGAGAATCCTGAGTGGAGCTGTAAGGACGAGGAACGAGCGTTACGGATAAGAAGAATTGAAAGGAAGACGTAGCCTGAGGCGCCCCTATCCATCCGAAGAAAGGCCGGCGCACGAACTTTGCGGGGGGGGGGGGCCTCGCCACGATCGAGCACTGGACCGCGGGAACAGAGGCCCGATCGAATCTGCAGGAGCGAGGCGCCGGTGCTCAACGGCCGGAGGAGTGCCTGTGCTGAACGGCCAGAGGCGTGCTGGTGCTCAACGGCCGAAAGCGTGCGAGTGCTCAACGGCCAGAGGCCGGTCCGACGAAGGCGGAGGAGGAGGAAGAGGAGGACCAATGTAAAACCATGACTCATCAACGATAGCGCAATAACCCCTCCCTCCAAGACGCCTCTTCATAGGCCCCTACAAGGATTTGTTCTCACTGCGGGAAAGGCCCCGTTAGAAGACAACTGTCTAAACATCCTGAGCCGTGCCATAGCACGAAACCTGGGATTTCAGCGCCGCGAATCAGCGTGAATGCTGCGTTCTGACGAGCCTGAACCGTGCCCGAATGCCAGTACTTGGATTTCAACATCGCGAACTGGCGTGCCCGTTGCTCCCTGACAGTCTTGCATCGTGCCAGCACACCATGCCTGGAAAGTCAACCGTGCGATTCCTG